TATTATTACAATCCTAAGTTTACAACAAATAATATTAAACTATTTATACACAATTTGCAAAGCAAAATGTTCTGTATTATCTTATACCTTTTTATTCTTCTTTCCTCATTGAATTGCATCTATTGAATGAAGGACTAGGCAGTGAATATCTGAAGGGCCATATCTCATTAATTTTAGTTATTACATATAAACTGTGTTGACAAATACATACAATTCAAATTAGGAAGTAGTTTCTGGTTTATACGAGAGGTGTCAGTCTTGGCTAACCACCTCTGCATAACCTCTTTGCTACTCTTTGATCAGGTTGTAGCATTTTGTGTCCCATTTCCCACTGATATGAAAAAAGACCTTTACTATTGTTTACTACTGAGCCCTTCACATGTTATTCAGACGTATGTAAAGAGATCCTGTAAACGATGCTGTTTTGAAAGTTAATAGAATGTATTTTAGTGTCCTAACTATTACTATCTTGAACCTAACTTAATGAACATAATACATCATGAAGTTTCTCATAATCACATTTATGAAAGATAAGATGATTGATTTAACACAAGAGGGTAATTTGCAACATTAATAAGCATTGACTCTTTTTTGTTGACAGAAAGGGAAACGCTTCATCTCTGCGTATAAAGAAGTAGTTTTAAAAATGCAAGAGGAGCAGCACAAGTTCCAAATGGAAAGAGAGGAAAGTGAAGCAAAGAGAACTGGAGGGAAGAAGAACTTAAGCAATTAAGTAAAGAAAACCTTTTGCTGCAGAAAAAACAACTTTTATTAGAAATTGCAGCATTAGAGAAGAAAAATTAAATATTATTTAAAATAAATTTTGTACGAAAATGATGATTTCTCTCATTGTCATGGGCCACAATATTCCACCAGGTTTCCTTTGTCTTCCTCAAAATATTAATTTGCATCTTTCTTCCACAGCATTATTAAATTGTGCAGGGCTGCAAAAGCCAGAATAATGTTTTTGGTGGTGTTCAACTTTGTATTTAGGCCATGACAGGCAACAAATTCTGCCTTTCCAGCATCCAAAACACCTTTGAACAACATTTCTGATAGTCTTGTGTTTGGAATTGTACAAGCACTCTGTTATTCCGAGGCTGTCTGAGGGTAGTAAACAGATATTTCTCTAAAGCTCATTGTGCATCACTAAGCAAGACATATACGTTAAAATTTCAAATTTTCTTCTTATTGGGCTCACATTAAATATTCTGGAGTCTTGTGCAGAGTTTCTGCATTTTGCCACAGTGCCAAGAATTTTAAAGCTAACTTTATAGATAATTTGCACATATAAAGAATACCAACTCTTTCAGTTGAAGGTTTGTGAATGTTCTCTTCCAGCACTTTTTATACAGATGTGGGTGCCATCCACAACACCCATAGCCTAAAAATGACAAAGATTGAGAAGCTAACAGATACTCTTACATGTCCATTATTCATTTGTAATTAATCATTATAATTACGTGCCAAAATACTATTTTATGAAATTGCTGAACCATCAGTAAACACTTCTCTTGAAGGAAATTTAATAATTTCCCAAGTGAGCAAATCGCCCCTTCCACTTCAGAGACAATTCGACTTGCACTTGATTGACATTTTGCGGATCAGTCAAATTGTCTTGGAATCCACCTCTTGTGAAAAATTGCAAAGGAAGCAGCACCTCTCGTTTCCACCAAATTGGGTGACCATGCTGATTAGCATTCTTCCAAAGTCAGGGCTGTATCATATCTATCAAGTTTCTCCCACTCTGTTGATATTTTGTTTTAAATGATGCTTATCATATCTATGCATGATCACAATCCTCTGAAGGTACTGTTTCCTTCCCCTTCCAGTAGATCTCGTATCTCACGCACCACTTCAGCCACATCAATATCAAGACCATTCATACCTGTCACCTAACACATGAACACAATTCAGAATATACAATTTTGAGGTTAGTCCAACGTTAAACCATGCCTTGGTACAGACTAACATTTATTTCGGTCTAACAGTAGATCTTCTTCCTACTACTTTCAAAACATGTCCATGAATAGACTTTTTTAGCCTGTCTCACATCTGGTTTAGTCCGGACTAAGAATAACTATTAATGTGCTCAATAGGTGTTTTAAACATAGATTTATTAAAGTCTATGTTTTTTAACATCACTGTTTTCTGAGTAAAAAATTCTGAAAATAAAAATTTACAAAAATCAAAATTTAAAAAAAGTTAAAAAATGAAATAATAACTGATGACAAACAGTTTGTGTTCAATCAAAATTAACACTATTCTTTCTGCCTTCTCTTGTCCGAGATGACTGAGGCATTTTTACTTTCTCGCTCTTGCTTCGTAAGAAGTGAAAGTATTGTGATCATGCACCAAAAACCAGTGAATTTGTGACTGACAATATATTATTGCTGGTCCCTGGTAATGAAAAAGTGGATAAATCTTGTTGAACTTGGTTTTCATGTAAAACTTAAGTTATAAATTAATGAATAGGAACACTGTGAAATTAAATTTCGTTGTGTCCAAATTAAATGTTAATGATTACTAAAACATCAATGGTTTTTGGCCAGTGTATTTCAATATTAATGTTTTAATTTTGAACAGCAATGTTTTTTTTTATTGGTATTGCATTCCTACAACAAATCCAGATGAGATGTAAACACATTTGACTTGTTGAATATTTTTTTATTTGAGAGAGTCTTGAAGGTGGCTGATTTGTTTTTTGTTTCGGAATTTGGACTAAATCAGGATAAATTCAAATGACGTTATAACTTTTTCAGAAGGAAATTCTATCAGAAACGTGCATATCAGCTGGTTCTCATGATTTTGTTTTTTCTGTGTGTATCAGACTATTTTTGTTCGTGGAATTAATAAGTACTGAACTGAATATCAAAATACAGATTTGGTTTCCTTTTAAATGTTTTTTAAGTTCCATATTTCATTACCATTCAGAATCCTAGTCAGTAGCATGTTTTGGTGAGGATTCTTCAAAAAATTGCCTTTGAATGCACAGAGTACATGTACTCACGAGGTGCAAATGAATTTAAAACGACTAAATAATGCGTTAAACTTTCTACAAGTGATTCTGTATGTTTTGATGAGATAGTAATGTAGTAAAACTCCTTTGCAATTGCAGTGAATCTATGGCCATATTGAAAATATATCCATGCTCGGTTTTATTGCCCTGCATTGCTCTTCTTCGATGCTAGTTTGCTGTCCAAGGTCTAGATATCACTGGTGAAGTATGGGGTCAACCAGTATCATCCTTCTATGAGAACTTCTAGAGACAAGATTAAAAGCTCCAATATCCCGCAAGAATTTCAAAACACTAGAACATTGGGATTTAGAGTAGAAAATACAAAAGAATTTGAACAAATATATTCAGGAAGAAAAGAAGTGTTTTGGGCTTGTAAGTGGTTGAAAATACTGAACCATTTATAAGCAGTAAACTGTTTACTGCTCATAAATAGTTTTCAGTAACAAATATTTTGTTTCAAGTAACCAAAATGTAAATGTATATAAACATAGGTTTATTCAGTTCATTTACGTTTACTGTGAAATAAAAATGTATGAACAATGTGCATGTGGGAGCAGAAGCATCCAGGCTGCATCAATGAAAGAACTTTTACTTGAGCACACTGGGGTTAAGAAATGATATTACTAAAATATCTTGACTTATGAATTGTTTCAATTTTGAATTTTAACTAATTTCTGTGTTTTGTTTTTCCTGGTGTTGTAGGACCCTTTGGAAATAAGCAATGAATCTGAAGAGACTGAAAAGCATGCATGGTTCCCAGGTTAGTAGAAAAGAAATTGGATTTTATTATAGACACAGAATCATTCTTTATGAATCTGTGATCAAAACATAAATCATTAGTAGGATTTTCCCCAAAATGAATATTTCTTGATTGCAATTGCCTGACTTCAAACCCTGAGAAACAAATCTTTCAATTTTTGACTCTCCTATATTTCATCGCCCTAAGACATTTTTAATTTTTCTCAAAATTGGCTTTAAATTATTTTTCAAAAGTTCTATAAGTTAAAAAAGTTTTGGAACTTCTCCAACAACTACACTACTAATGGTAGAGATGTCTTTCTAAAGGTAATCTGCTCATGAAGATCTTTCTTTACATGAGATTATATGCATTTATTTCAAAATATGAGTAGTTTTCACGTAATTTAGAGACAAATGTTTCAATTATACATTTAAAGACTTTCTCATAAATAGCGATAAATATATTTATTTTACTTTGTATGGATAGAGCACAGTGCACCTAATCACATGACATATTTTTATTAATAAATATGTGTGTTACAACACATGCAACTCTTTTTAAATAACACATGTTTTTTCACGAAAATTTCCGTTTATTTATTTAATGACAAAAACATTTTAAAACAGTGTTTCACATATTGTGGGGAGAAGTATATTCTGTGAATGTTTTCTTAAATTCTCGGATTTCTACCCTAACTGATATACAAGTTGAATTCTGAATAAAATGGAAATAAGCATTTCTGACAAGAATTGAAAAGAAAATATTTGCCTCTGTGTAATAAAAACTAAATGGAAAGGCAAATAAGCTATAAATTCTGGCTATAAACCCTCAACATGTCCTTTGTAATGAAATTGACTCCCTGCCCAAATAATATGGAGAACGATAATTTCAATAGTTACATTTCCCTCTGGACTCTAGAAAACGTGCACAGATAGTGAAGTTTTTATGTCCAGAAGCAGAACAAGGGACCATCTCAGCATTCACTCACAGGATTGGATTCAAACAAAATATGAACGGAAAGCTGTTCAAATGGAGGTAATTGACTCAGAATCTGTGGTACAATACTTTTGCAGGCTTATTTAGTCTTTTTCAATTATACAGTCCAAATGGTAATTATTACATGAAATATCATTGTTTGTGGCAGCGATGTTGTAATGGTTAGGGACTGTTATACCCAAGTTCGTGGGTTCAAACCTGATAATGCCGTGGATTTTTAAGGCTTAAAAAACCTTTGTACGCCTTACTTCGTATAGGAAGTAAACTGTCTGTCCCATGTTAGATTTACTAGATCCTCAAGCTTAAATGAAGCCTCTGAGCTAAATTGAAATCACATGTTTCGTGGCCCAGGAAATACCTCCTTTCTCCACTAGTTGGTAAAAGCGTGGCGAAATTAGCATGGTCAGATGGAAGAGGCTGGACTTACGGTCTTAATCTCGCCACATAAAATAAGGCAAAAATTCAATTCAATTCAAAATTAATATTCCTTTCATTTTTGATATTTGCTCAGTTGTCTTTTATTGCATAGAAACAGTTCTACAGCAGAATTGATTTAGTAAAATGAAGCAGGGCCCCAGAAAACTACGTGAATGCAAGTGCTGGCACTGCACAATGTGTCTGTATCTCTTGAGGCATTGCACAATGTGTGCTCGAAAAATGCATATACTTTTTTTCTAATTTCAATAAAAGTCAAGTGTGAAACATGTTTAATTATTGATATGATCCATTTCTATTAATAGGGCCTTAAAAGCCAAAAGTCCTGCATATGCATTGACGCTATGGAATCAAATGTCAGGACGTACGTACATAACTTCTGCAAATTTTTCCGTTGCCAGCAACTAAAATGAAAGTAGTAAGATTACACTGAGGTCAAGCTCTCAGAAATGCAACTGTGTAGAGTAAAAAGCAAAATAAAAAGTGTTAGGGTTTCAGAGACCCTGCATCTGCATCAGAAGGTTAAACTTGTTTATCAAATTTAATCATTTAATACCATCTGGTAATGTGTTGTAAGATAATGTACATGAATCGTTTGTGAACTTTTAGTACTGAGCTGCTGATACTGATACCTAATGAATACGATTACTATGTCGCGTGTTATAGCTATAGACATCAGTATTAGCTGAAAATATGTTCCCAGGCTTTGGATAAAACCTCTGATTTGTAAATCAAGACGCAGGAAGGGGTAAAATTCCAAACTTAATAAAGAGAGGCTGACAAGAATCACGTGAATAGGGTTTTCGTATTGTACATTTCTTTTTTGTAATCGAGAAGTTTGGGAGCTATAGGATATGTAACCCTAGAATATTATGCCATATCTCAGGCAGGATTGAAAATTCACGAAATATATACAAGCAGTATGAAGGCTGACTGAATTTGAAAGAATTGTAGATGTTCAACATGTAGAATAATGGACCTTTCATATGAAGTTTGACTAAATTGAAAGATCCAAAATTTTTATTACCTTAACATTGATGAATTGTACCAAAACATTGGTCAATTGCACTTTTTCAGTGGAATATGTACTAATTGTTCATTTAGACTGGAAAACTGCATTGAAACTGATCCCTTTGTTAACTATTAATTTTGTAAATCGAACCCTGCAGGACCCCATGTGCAGTATGTATTTAATCTGAAAGGTATGTATTTAATGCCCCAACATTCTAGCACAGTGTATCTTCTGTTTGAGATCATTGTTTAAGGTATGAGAATTTAGAGCAATACCATGAATTCCATACAAAGGTAATATTGGAAGCACCAATCTTTGCAGAATATTTATCAAAAATTACTTATTTCCTCTATTTGTAATTTTTGAGACAGACAAATTCTTTCGTATATCAGGAGTATACGCTACATTCACCGTCGTTATTAAATTATCTTTGTTCATTCTATTTGGGATGTGAAGATTAATATTTTCACGACTGTCCCCAGAACAATTTGATATGTTGCTAGCTTCAATTTTTTTATTATTAAAAGAAGAAGATTTCTGAAATAAACTTATTTCCACATATATGTGCTGTGCAATCACTGTCCATTTACCATTCATTAGGCATCACGTTTCTATTGTCGTGATCGGTAAAAAATGGTAAATTCAGGGTAAAAATTTCTTATGCCCAAGTTTTCCACAAGAAAAATATTCTGGTCTTCTAAAATGATATTTATCTTTCAAGTCTCACGCTTAGCGAGGTGTCCTTCAGCAGACACCGGGACCTTTGGAGGACCAGGGTGCCTGCTTCGCTTGCAAACTCGGACGGTCAGGGTTCAACGTGAAGTTACACCAATAAAAACTTCCTCACGATGCGTACAGAACTCAGGACATCAGCCTTTTGCATTGATTGTGTCAGTTCTTAAGTACACGGAAAATACTTCTACCAAAAGTTTTGTATCCCATCAGTACCTTGCGCTTTCCAATTCTGCGTTCGGACTGAATTGAAGGCATCTCTCTGTGTAATATGAGGCGAGCACATTTGAGGTCTATCACATTTTCCTTCCTCTTCTGCTAACCAGTAAACGCCATCATCATTGGCCTTGGGATGCTCCATATATTACTATTCTTCCATCTCGGAGCTTTTAAGAACTGTTTCAGGCAACTTTCTTTGATCTTTGAGTTGCCTGAAAAATTTCTTCTGGTCGCATGAAAACAGCATTCTGTTGTCTTCGTTTCGTTGCTTTATGATATCTTATAAGGCACCCAAGGACTGCGAAGCGCGGTTTTAGATACTCAAGTAGACTCTGAGCCTCTCCTCGAAACTCGTCTGGCTTCTTCGAATTCTCATCTTTCGTCCAATTGCCTTCACTGCATTGAAAACATTTCTAATTGCATTCTCAGGAGCTTTAATGTTGGCTGTCAGAGTGTCTATGTCCCGCCGGAAGCTTTTAATCTTGCATTCAATACGCGTGGGGGCTTGGTGGACGTAGCGGATTGTGCTGTCTTTCGAGGTTTTCAATTTATCCTTTACAGGTTTACCAAGACAAAAGCAAGGGCTACCCAAAACACATAGCTTACAACTTTAAGTGCTGTCGATTGTTCTACATTCACCTTCAGCAAGTTATTGACAGCTTCCATCGCCGCATTTGTACGTGGCCCATATCCCACTCGTGGGATCCAAGGTCTAGAGGATAATGGAATACCGTGATAGCATGTCTTCATGACTTATATTGCGCAGTCCAAGAGAATTGCTCAGGAACAGGGAGGCAGGATTCATCAGAATTAGTCTCCACAGACCATTTCTGATTAGCTTGTGAGTCTTCCTTTCAGCAGTCTGATTCCTATTCTCAATACCCAAGGATGTTCTTACATTCTCTGTAATGGTATTCGTCTCTGCAGCTGAGAGAAAGTTCTTTACAATGGTGGTGCGTTGCTGGTCGCACACTATCTGCTGATACCGGTATGTTCGGATGCAGCTTTAACCATTTTCGTGAAATCGCGTTCTGTATCCCTCCATGTCCGCATCATGCATAATGGAGATATTTAACTTCTTAGTCTATTTCATGCGCTGGCGTTTGTTCTGGGGTCGGGCGGGGTGAGCTGTCGTCTCACCCAAGCTGTGACCCCCAGTATTTGTATTGCCATAAGTGGTGCAGCGCCACACCTTTCCGGATGATATGAGGAGGCTCCACTGGCACGTGTAGCAAATTTCTCACAGCGAGCCGAACTTGCAGCGCCGCCTTGCAAGTGCGGGTCGCAAGCGTCACGAATGCAATCCTCATAACTGCTTCTCCACCTACGCACCGGACAAGAGTCGAGAGTGAAAGCACGTCTCGCTTCTGAATCAGCCCCATCTGCGCATCATCACCTAACCCCTCAAGCACCACAGCCCGCAAAAATATAGGATTGGCTATTTCGGATGCGGCCTCCATCTGCCAGTTGCTAGTTGGTTCGTCGATTCCTTACCCAGAAGTGAGAGGTACAGATCACCTCCCAGCTTCAAGAAGAACAGACAGCCATCCGATTTGGCGGGTTGCCATTGCCCTGAAGGCCGACACAATGGTGCCATATG